TGAAACTGATCAGCGGCTGATTCCAGGAAGCCGGGGGCAGAGCAACTCTGCCTAGGGCTTCCTGTAGTCAGCCGCTGATCAGTTTCAGCAGCGGCTGAATCTGGAGCCAGTTCCGACTTACATACAAATTCAACTTAAGAACAAACCTATAGTCTCTATCTTGCACGTAACCCAGGGACTGCCTGTATTTGATTGCCTTTGTAGTATTGATATTTTTATCCAATAGCTGAAGTTATATTGCTAAACAGAAGTTGAGATGCTTCACCTGAGTTTCGGCTGACAAGTCTTTGGTGATTGTAGAAGCATTTTTGGAAATGGATAATCTAAAAGGCAGTATTTATATTACCCCAATTTACTCACTACTGTATGTAATTCAGATGAGGGTTATCCTTCCTATTTCCTTCAGAAGTATGAACTTTGATAAATATGTAGATAAACCTGGGATAACATTGATACTAGAGCTGGTAGAGAATTTTTTTATACAACTTTTTTTGTCAGAAAAATGCTGATTTGTTGAAACAGAAAGTATGGGAATATATGGGATTAGCTCAGAGTTTCACCAAGAGGTTTCTCAGGTCTAATGATGGAATTTCTAGATCGAAAGACTCACCCCACAGAGCTTCAGGGGGTAGCCGAGTTAGTCTGTTACAGAAAAAAACAACAAATGGTCTGGTAGCACTTTATAGACTAACGAAACATGTAAGATATCATCTACATGTTTCGTTAGTCTATAAAGTGCTACCAGACCATTTTTTGTTTTTTCACCCCACAGAGTCATCCAGTAGCTAGGGCATTGATGTGTCATTTGGTTCCGATTTTGGGAGCAGATACTTGAACTCAGATCTCCCAGCCACATTCCAGGTGAGTGCCCTGACCACCAGACTGTTGTTTGGTCTGGGGTTTGGAGATCACTCATGCTCTCCTGTTGGAGCTGACCTGCTGTGACTCCTTTAGAGCAGAAGCTCAAATCCAGGTCTCCCATATCCCAGGAGATACAGTAAAACTCCATTAGTCCGGCATCCAATGCTCTAGCACTCCTGATGGTCCGGCACCATCAGGAAGCTGGAAGTGCTCGGGGCAGCCAGACAATTGGAGCTGCTATGTGCCTGGCTTCCCCGATTCAGTCGCTGCTGAAACTGACCAACAGCTGAATGGGGAAAGCTGGGGGCAGAGCAGCTGGAGTGCTTCCGGGTTGGTCCCGCAGCGCCGAGGGGCGGTGCTAGGGGACCAACCTGGCAGTACCCCAGCTTCTCTGCCCGAGGCGTCCCCAAGTCAGCCGCTGGGCCCTTTCAGCAGCAGCTGAATCGGGGAACAGGGACAGAGCAGCTCCAATTGTCTGGCTTCCCGGAGCACTTCCGGGTTCCAGAGGGTGCCGGACCATCAGGAGTGCCGGACCATTGGATGCCGGACCACTGGAGTTTTACTGTACCACCAACTCTTGATCATATATAAAGAACTGTCAAGCAGATGAAATCTGGAAAGGCACCAGGCAGTGACACAATCCCATTACAGATTTATAATGGTGGTGGCCAGCTGATGCTCTTTTTCCCATGGTGATAAATGGGTGAGATAGCACAAGTCCCCCAGGAATTTCAAAGATGCCCTGATTTTACACATATATAAGAGAAGGTGACTGTTCATGCTGTGATGTACACTGGGGCATCTCACCATTGTCTATAGTAAGATCCTGGATATTTGATGATCCGGCACCTCCTGGGTCCTATAGGTGCCGGATTATCGAAAGTTTACTGTAGTTAAGAAAACACGTAAGGAAACATACATTTTCTCTTTTGTTGTGTAATAAAGTCACTTTAGATTGCATCAAAATAATATTTAATCCATGGGATTATTTGAAAGTGAATAAGTAAGGGACTTTATTTAAATATTAAAAATATTATTGCATTTTTTAAAAAAAGTTCCAAAGCAATACTTATTTAAAATGCAAAAAAGTACCACTGCCTTCTCACATAAAGTAACCTATTATATTGTTCTGTTATGTGTTTCTTTATCAGATTTCCTATTGTTTGTGTTTTTAAATTACATTGTTTATATTTTAATATTCAAAAGCACATAAATACTGGACTGGTTGACTTAATGTATTGTCTTGCATTGTTTGCATGCAAATTTGTTAACCTGATATTTATGATTTATTGTTACAGTGAATGATATGCATGCTGGTATTGTCTTATGTGAACAGATGTCAGTGGTACTGCATAGTCTCTTTTTTTCACTTAGTTTAAATAAAAAGTTTGTTGTTCTTTAGGAAGATGTTTTGCAATGTTAGAGGGTGATATAATTTCCCATTAAACTTTTATGCGTGTATACTAATGAAGTACTTGCTTTTGTCAACCTAATCACTGAAAATAATCCCCAGCTCGCTTGACTAAAAGAAACAGGAAAAGGATTTGCTCCAAATTAGGATGTTCCTTCCCATATCAGACTTATTAAAAAAGAAGAGCAGGAGAGAAAGCAATCATGTCTATTACGAATGCATTTCACATGACTCACTATTAATCATTTCTTTGTCTTTCCTCCATTTTTCCACAATTTCCCTTATAAATATATCATTCTGCTTCTTACACTTCATTGATGGTGCACTGCACAAATGTAGGGATGCTTTCTTGATGCTGTACTCTTAGGCTGAGATTTTCAAAAGAACTTAGCAGAGTGAGATGCCTAATTCTTACTGAAATTCAATGGAAATTGCTGATGAACTCTCATGAACTCTTTCGAAAACCACCACTTCAATATATATTTCCTCACTGGAAGAGAAATGTGGATGAATTAAATGTATTCAGTGTTTTCTGGGAAGTGGTGTTTAGCACTTAAAGTCCACATACCTCTGATGAATGGTCTATCTAATGTTAACTTTTTGGAATTTTTCTAGAAAATGTAGAAGATAGTACTGATGAAGATGCCCCTCTGCACAGCCCTGGGGCAGAAGGAAGGTAAGAGAATGCTGTAAATTGTATAAGTTCCCTTGTTTCCAGAAAACTAAATACAACTTTATATTGTTCTGGGAGGTATTAAAAGGAATGTTGTACGTAAGACTCAAGAAGTAATTCTTCTGCTCTACTCCGCACAGACCAAGTCTTCTAATAGGGCGGACTCACCACCACAGAGCCTATTGCTGGTCATTCTGGAAATTAACTCTCCAGAAGTGTGCCTTCCTTTAGTGGTGTTTCACTGCCACCATTTCTGCTGTTTCCGTGACATCCTCTTTTGGGCTTGACACTCCAGCTCTGTCCCACTCAGTCCTTTCCCTCTTCTGGTAGACCAACAGTCCTTAGTTCTGCCACTTGCCTCAGTGGCCAAGTGCAGTCTAAAGTTGAGCCCCTCACCTCAGGGGCAATCTGTAGTCTTGATGTTGACCACTTTCCTCATTGATAAGCGATTGCAAAGGGTGGGGAGGAGACTGGTGCCCACCCACTACTCCGGGTCCTGACCCAGGGACCTGTTAGCCATGTGTTGCATTCTCCTTCCATCTGTCTTCCTGGGCCACTTCCCCATAGCCTCAGCACCTTCCCGGTTCCTTGAATCGGGCGTCAGTCTGGCAGTCCTCATTCTAAAGCTCCTTCTTGCTCCCCTCACCCTGCCCAGCACTACTCTGTCTGTGTCGCTTTTTCTACAGCAGCCAGACCTTCTCCCTTGCCCTCCAGAGAGAGCTTGGCTACAGCTCTGCTGAGCAGCTCTTTTATATATGGCCCTCACTGGCTTTGATTGGCCATATGTAAAGCATTCCTTTCCGTGGTTGGCTCTTTCAGTAAGCCCCTTCCTGATTGTCTAGGTTCTGTGCAGCCTCTCCAAGGCTGGCTTAATCCTTCTGCCTGTGTAGGGCAATTGCCTCACCACAGGCCTTAACTGGAGTCTTGTGTCTAGTTCTGCATGCCACATTTCAGGAAAGATGTGGACAAATTGGAGAAAGTCCAGAGAAGAATGATATAAATGATTAAAGGTCTAGAAAACATGACCTATGAAAGAAGGCTGAAAAAACTGAGTTTGATTAGTCTGTAAAAGAGAAGTCTGAGAGGGATGTAATAGTTTTCAAGTGCATAAAAGATTGTTACTTATAAGGGAAAGTGTTTATAAGGGAAAGTAGGAGGGAGAAAAATTGTTCTTGACTTCTAAGGCTAGGACAAGAAGTAATGGGCTTAAAATTAGGAAGGTTGCGATTGGATGTTAGGAAAAACTTCCTACCTGTCAGAGTGATTAGTCACCAGAATAAATTGCATAGGAAGGTTGTAAAATCTCCACCATTAGAGATTTTTTTAAGAGCAGATTAATCAGACACTTTTCAGGGATGGTCCAGATAATAATCAGTCCTGCCTTAGGTGGTCTCTCAAGATCCCTTCCAGTCCCATGATTCTAAGTAATTATTGATCCATTAGAAAATATTTTTAATACTGGTGTGTTTTTCATTTTACTCACAAATTCAGAAAAAAATCAAAGTAATAGAGAAAAATACTTTAGTTCTGAAAAATGAATTTGTGTTACTGTTCTCCTTTTAGTTCCTTGTCTTCGGACCTTATGAAGCTTTGTGGAGAAGTCAAGCCCAAAAGTAAGGTAAGAAACAGTGATGATAAGACTTGGAAAGCTCCTTCACTGAGAGTCATGCAAAGGGCTCTTTCATAAATGTTAATAAAGTAAGTCTCACAACAACACTGTGTCATAGTAAAGTATTGTTCACTTTGACTAATTCATCTGCTTTAAAGTGGAGTTTCCCTCTGGAAAGTAACTGTAAGTAGCACTGTAGGATTTTATGTTTGTCTTAAAATTTCCAGATCAAATTTGCTCAGTTTCAGGGAAAACTTTTTTTTTTCTATTGCCAGCACTTCACTTCAGCACAGCACTTAATGATATGCGTATGCCTTATTGACACCAATGGGAATAAAGGACATGTTTAAAGTTAACATTTGCGTAAGTCTCTGCTGAATCAGGGTAGTAGAAGTGTTATTAAGGGTATGATTTGGTCTACAGGATCTTCATTGCAAGTGCTGATTAGGGATGTTAAATATGGGTTAATTGAATAGTCAATTAACCTCATTAATTTTTATCGGTTAGTCGACTATTCTATAGTCCCCAGGCAGCCCCTCTCCGGGGTTAAAGTTAACATTTGCGTAAGTCTCTGCTGAATCAGGGTAGTAGAAGTGTTATTAAGGGTATGATTTGGTCTACAGGATCTTCATTGCAAGTGCTGATTAGGGATGTTAAATATGGGTTAATTGAATAGTCAATTAACCTCATTAATTTTTATCGGTTAGTCGACTATTCTATAGTCCCCAGGCAGCCCCTCTCCGGGGGGGGACCTAGCATAAGCCAGAACTGAGCTGAGCTGCCTGTTCACCTAGCTCCTAAAACACTTTAAATGCAGAGCCACAGAAGGGATAGGTCCAGGACCCAGTGCAAGCCGGGACTGAGCTGGGCTGCTGGCCAGCCTGCTAAAAAATGTATTGGCAAGAGGTGCGGGGGAATGCGTGTAGTCTATAAGCTTTTACTTATTGGTTAGTTGACTATACTATTACATCCCTAGTGCTGATGCATTATTGAAAAAGGAATCAAATTTGATTTGATTGAACAAATTTGGTCTGGAAACTATTGATCCAAAATAGGTGTGGAGCCACCATTTTTGTCTTAAAAACGTAAGACCTGTGTTTTCAAATTTAGACATTCCTTCCCTGAGATGAACTCAAATCTTGGGAACAAAACAGAAGTTAGAAGTATATATTTAAAAGGATGCTCTATATTTTAAGAAGTTTTCCTTTTTTCATTTTAAAACTTTCTGAAGTTGTTTAGGCTTTAAAAATAAGTTGGTGTAGTAGTGTCATTATTCTTTGTGATTGAAAAGTTTAAGAAAATCAAGTTATATAAGTTATTTTCCTCAACTGTTGTCAGTAAAGAAATACAACTACTGGCCCTTTTTAGCAAGTATAGCACCATTCTTTGTGCCCTTTAGTTTTCTGATCTTCAAGATGTTCACATTGTATAGTGGCTGTCAGTCGCACAACTGCCTCAGCTTCTTTCCAAATTTTGCACACAGGGATCATTTAGCACAGAAAAAGTTGTTTTTTATTGGAACATTTCCTTATGCTTTTAGGTAATTATTCAGCAAAGCATATTTCTCAGTGCTTTGCTGAGCATGGGTGGGATTAGTCACATGCTTATAATTAAACAAGCATTGTTAAACTGGATGTTGTAATGAGGTGGCCTGCCACTTTAAAGGCTGGAGGCATGGAGCTGGAACTTAGTCCTGCCTGTGTCACTTGAGATGAGAGTTTAATTAGTGGATCCCATTGGGAACAGGGAAGCTGCAGAGATGGGGGTTTTCAGTGGGGGTATGTCTACACAACAAAGTTATTCGAAATAACAGCCATTATTTTGAAATAACTTTACTAGTGTCTACACAGCCAAACTAATTCGAAATAGCAGAGCGCTTATTTAAAATTTGGTAAACCTCATTCCACAAGGAATAATGCCAAATTCGAAATAGCTATTTTGAAATAAGTGCTGTGTAGACACTTAGGGTACGTCTACACTAGCTCGTTAGTTCAAGCTAGGTGGGGTAATTAGGGCAAGCGGAGTTGCAAATGAAGCCCGGGATTTAAATATCCTGGGCTTCATTTGCATGTTCCCAGGCGCCGCCATTTTTAAATCCCCCTTAGTCCGAACACCGTTCCCACGGCTACACGCGGCATGGGGTAGGTAGTTCGAATTAAAGGTCCTAATTCGAACTACCATTACCCCTCGTGGAATGACCCCACCTAGCTCGAACTAATGAGCTAGTGTAGACGTACCCTTATATCAAAATAGGGGGCCTCCAGCTTCAACCAAGAACTCTCTTCTCCCTCCCCTCTCCCCGGAGCCCTTAAAGGGATTGACTCTGGCTGCAGTGCCTGTGCCAGCTCCAAGCCTGCCAGCCCAGAGCCAGCAGTCACTGCCCCTGACCCAGTGGCCCCAAAACATGAGCCAGCAAGCCACTGGGAGCCAGCTCTTCACCACTCCCCAGGAGCAGTCTGCCAGCACCCAGGAGCCTGCCAGGGCCTGGAGAAGGCAGGCGCCTTCCTGGTCCAGGGTGGAGATCATGGACCTTATTCAGGTTTGGGGGGGAGGCCTCCAACGTCCACGATCTCCACACTAGATGGAGGAATGCTGTAAGTACTCAATAGTAAAAATTAAGTTGGCTTAAAAATATATCATTGACACGCTCTTTACCAATGGTCTTATGTTTTAAAAAGTTTACTATTTATTTATTTTAAATGCAGGCCCGCCGGAGGACCACTACCCAGATGGAATTGCTATATGCAGACAGCAGTGATTTAGCCTCTGATAGTAGTGCAGCAGACACCATTTTATCTGGCCCTCTTACACCTGTGGCAGAAGTGCAAGAGAGTGGAATGCATACCGATACAAGTGATACTTCTGCTAGGGAAAAAGACCTCATTCCCCCACCATCTGGCTTACCTTCTAAAATAGGCAGCATGTAAGTTTGGCCAAGCTGTACTAACTACTTGTTGCTTTTTAAAAATGCATGTTGCTAGTTTCTTGTAAGTTTTGGTGGACAATTGATTTCAGACTAATGATGTCGTATTCAGAAATCTGTTCCTTCCTCCATAGCCAAGCATATATATGCTGTCGTAATTCATATATTTTGAGACATTTTAACTCATTTTCTTTAGCAAAACTACTTCAGATTTGTTTGTAAATAGCGGGTGCAGTTATTCAGTACTTACGTTTTGTCAGTGATGTGTGAAATACAAATTTTAGAGAGAAGAATCTTTTGAGAAACTTCAACAAGACTTTAAAAAGATACATGTTGTGAACCACAAGTATAGTGTTTTAAAACAAACCAACTAGAAAATGTAAGTTTAAATTAAAGGTCGGGAACCTAAACCTTAAGATGTATTTTATCTTTACCATGTTTAAAATGGAGCAGCCTAAATTTTTAGTATATTAAAACATTATCAATTTTAATAGTACACTATGAATAGTGCATATGTACACTATGAATTCTATCAGTGCTTTTTCAATTACAGTTGCTGAAGAATAATTTTTAATGATGGAAAATACCAGTTAATTTTATTAAACAATTTAACTTTGGGGACAAATCTTTTCTTACATCTTATATACTGCTTTTTAGATACTAACCCCACATTATGTCACATATAAGCTGAATGCATTTGCCACATTAAATAATAAGAAAAAAATACTAGCTATTTTTAGGTTATAGATGTGAAAGTAAGGCATTTTTCACTGGCTCCTCTTTCTCATATTTCCATCAAACCATTACTTTTTAATGGAAATCTGTACTGTTATGTGTACACCTGCTATTAGTTTTAACAGCTTTATATTTTTCTAGCATGCGCTTGAGGTGGCAGAAATAAACGGTAAAACACTGCTGACAGCAATTGTTAACGCATGCTTGTTGCTTTTACAAGTAGCGTATGCACAGAAGGAATGCTATTGGTGATGCAGGGGGGGAATGATGATCAGGTTGGGCAGAGAAACCTGCTTGTTTCAGAATTTAGTGAATGAGATAAGAATATTGGAGCTCCAAGATTTAATAACATCAAGTGTTATGACCTGGCATCCAAGGTTCAGGTAATACCATCTTTTTGTTTCACTGCATCTTCTAAATTGTATCCATTATGAAAGATAAATAGCAATGAAGCAAAATAAAATGATCTAAATTCAAACTTTATACCTATACTTTAATTACTATATACTTTATACTTTAACCTTTTTGCTCACTAGTGGACTTGACTTGTTTCTGAATTTTTTTTATGATAATTTTTCAGATGAATTTAGCAGATGAAACTTTTGTCTCAAACAGTTCTTAGTGACTTCAATATTGTTGTATCTATTTAATACTCCCCTTAGTTAGAACTTACATTAATTTACTTTCTACAATGTTAAAAATATTCCTGATTACTCTTCCAAATTATTGCTGATATTTATTGTTGAAACAAGATTCCTTCTTAAAATCCATCCGTGCTTCCTTCTGTATCCTGCAATAAAGTTGACATAACAACTTTATTGCATCAAAATAGTTCCTACCTCAGCAGAAGTGGATGTCATTACTACTTTGTAGGATCATGCAGCTAAAATAGTGTTTGTGGGGGGAGAGGGGAGTAACACTATCTATTTACAAGAGATAGTTTTATAATCTACAATAGTAGGAGAAACCAAAGTAGTCTTGTAGTGTAAATTTTCTTTCTGTTGATGTTCACTTCCTTCAGGTTGTCAGAATATAAAAATCTTCTTTTCAGAGTTCAAGCTAGCTCCCATTGAAGTGAGGGATTTTTTCCATTTACTGCATCCCATCTTTAGTTGACATATACCCAGTCATTATGGGGATAGTTGAAATCTCCCATTATTAATGAGTTGTCTTTGTTTTGCACAGTGGCATTACCATGTCCCAATCATTCTTTGAAGTTTCTATGATGGCCATTATAACAATATCCTCATGCTAGGCACTCAAGTTCACCTGTCTTGATACACAGGCTTTTTACATTTATATACAATAACTTATAAAGTTTGTCTGCCTTCATGTGATGTAATTTAATAGATCTTTTTCATTTGACTGTTTCTATTCAGCTCCCACTTGTGATCAATTTATATTCTCTCCTCTTTACTAAGATATAGAGAATCCCTGTTACTAGATCATCTCCAAAGTGATCTCTCTATCTGAACAGCATGCTCCTCCATGCCTGTCATCTTTCTCCCAGCTCTTAGTTGAAAACTTAGTTATGATTTTTGAAAAAAAAAAAATTCTGGCAATCTGCTTCTCTGGTGATTTAGGTGGAGCGTAGCCTTCTTGTATAGGCTTCTTCTTTCCCCAAAGGGTGCTTACTTCCTAATAAACCTAAAATCCTCCTCCCTACATAATCATCTCATTGAGATCTTACAGTTCTGCTTTCCTATATGACCGTAGGGTCATATGGTAGGGACGTAAATGGGTAACTGGTTAACCAGTGTCAGGAGCAGCCCTCTGCCCGTGGTGTGCCATGACTAGAGGGCAGCCCCAGCACTGGGATCCCACTTAGTTGGTTAGCCAGTTAAACATTAAGCTAACCTAATGTTTCACTGGTTAACTGATTAATCAGGATTTTACTTCCCTAACATGTGGAACTAGAAGTATTTAGTGTATGCTACCATGGAGGTTCTGAATGTCAAGAACATCTTAAATTTAAATGTAAAGCTAAATTTGATCTCCAGCCTCTCTCTCCCATCTTACCCAGCGTGACCAATACTGATGTGTACTAGGACTACAAGTGCCTCTCCAGCACTGCCCATAAGTCAGATTATACAAAATCTCATCTGATTTTTTTTTTTTAAGTTAAAGCCTTAAGTCCTCATAGTTGTGCAGAATTCCTTCCAAATGTGAAGTAAGGGTAAACCAATGCAATGTTATCTTCACGAGTCTCTGAGCAGCCTGAATCAATGGCTTATAGAGATGTGGGATTCTGCAGTTCCTATTTATCTGTCTGGAAGTTTAGTTACAATGACTTTGATGTCAGTATTAATTTTTGCATTGGTGATCATTTTAGTGGATGAGAGGAGGGTTTGGAAAGGAGGCTTGGGGAGTATGAGTTGAAAATTGCTTCCCTGAAGGAAATATGAAGGCAAGTCACAAAGACAAGGAACAGGGAAAGAAACAGAGAACAAAGAGAGTGGGAAGAAACAAAACACAGAAATAGCTATATTCCAAGAGGGGGCATATTGTTCCACTTTATGATACTGAATATGGCAGTTAAGAATTTACTAAACAGTAGTAATAATAGTTTAGTTACTGTGCCTAGCCCAGATTCTATCTTGACTTTTGTGAAAGTGTTTCACTAACATCAGCAGGTGTTGCTGTGGACGGAAGGGAGGATGGAGTCCAAAATTTATTCTCCAGCCCACATATCGTAACAAAAATATAATTCCTCCTTTTCCATTGATGGAGCTTGATATCTCTGCACCACCTATTAAAATTACTTCAATTAATTTATTTTCTTGATAATGTCAATGTAGTGCAGTATATTTCTCTGATCTCTAGCCCATAGTACATTTTGGAGTTCTTTTTTTTTAAATAAAATTGGCATATATTATATTAGTATTAAAACATAAGGCTTGCAAGAACAAATTTAAAGAATGGAACCAGTTAAATTCAAGAACTGTACCATGTCCATAAACCAATGATTGATGATGATAAATAAAAATATCATGAGATCTAACAGATTCATATTTTAAATGTCACATATTGAGATTATTGGAGTGGTAGAACTGCAGCTTGAATATCCAAGAAGCAATTTTAACAAATACTGAAAGATAAGATAATCTTTCCTGTTACCTTAGTTCTAGACAGTCATCTCTGACAGAAAAGAAAGTACCTGAACCTTCACCTTTAACAAAGAGGAAGGCCTATGAGAAAGCAACAGAAAAGCCAAAGGCGAAAGAACAGAAACAGTAAGAATCTTCACTCCCTCCCTCCCCCAACGATATTAAGCTTTTGGAAAATATTCTTGAAGAATAATACGTTTATATCTTTTTCCATTCTAGGTTAAATTTTTAATGGTGGCTGTGAAATTATTATCCACTATCAGGTTTCTGTCTTTGTTTTATAATGGTATTCTTCTGTATTCTATGTAATTTGGTGTCAGCACTCGGAGAGAGAGACCTCTTAAGTATTTGGAAATAATTAATTTTTTTAAAAGTTCTAAAAAGTCTGAGATGAGCAACATTTGTTCTTTTTACAAGAATTGCTTCCTTTTACATAAGCCAGTCTTTTTACCTGCATAGTATACGGTTACCATTTAAAGTAATTGTTTGAATGTCATAACATCCTCTGACCTGTACCAGTTTTGTATTCATACAGCTGTTACATTTTTTGATAGTGCATGTAAACAGCATTTCTTGTTTAATAAACAGAATCTAATACATTATTTGAGGCATGTTTCATTTAACCTCTCTAACATGTCATAATCTTTTAAAGAAGATGTTCTTTTTTTCTTGTAGCTCAGATTCTGGAACCTCAGAGGCTAGTCTCTCACCTCCTTCTTCCCCACCAAGCCGGCCCCGTAATGAACTGAATGTTTTCAGTCTT